CAACAATTAAAAGCTTAAATTTTTTTTATTTATCTGATCGGAAGAAATGGAGAAAGGAGGTCAGTGTAAGGTTATAGAGAAGTTAGAACTTTTTCAGGCAGTACTGTTAAAGGTGTAAATTCATATGATCTTTCTGAAGGGTGGCTTATACATAGATAACAAGGATCTTGTTGTTAAGTGCCATCCAGTTGGTTCCAACCCATAGCGACCCTGTGTAGTGTTTCCAAGAAGCTACTAGTGAGTTTGAACCGCTTGCCTTGTGGTTCAAACCGACCTTGTGATCCAGTGCTTTATCCTATAGCATCATACCAGGACTGTTGAAATGCTTGTTATATTTTATACGTCTGCTTCTGTGTCTTAGAGAAATAATCAGGTACCTCTGCAAAGCTGTATGTTCTAGCGGCAAAGAGTTGGAACCTAAATTTCCCAATAAAAGGATTAGTTAGCAGATCATGACACATGTTCCTAAGTAAGATTCAACCAGCTATTAAAATATCATAACACAGATAAGAGTTTGTGATGTTATTAAATGAAAATCAGGTTATAAAACACTATGTGCAGTAAACACATGAAGTACTTATTCAACCAGTTGTTGTTGTTGTTGTTGTTAAGTGCCATCGAGTCGGTTTCGACCCATAGCGACCCTGTACAGGGTTTCCGAGGGTGTACATCTTTACGGGAGTAGAAAGCCTGATCTTTCTCCCGCGGAGCAGCTGGTAGTTTCGAACCACTGACCTTAAGGTTCGCAGCCCGATTCGTAGCCACTACGCTACCAGAGCTCCTTTATTCAACCAGTAAGAGAAATGAAATCTTGATACATGCTACATTATGGGTGGAGCTTGAAGACATTATACTGACTGATGTAAGTCAATCACTAAAGGACATATACTGCAGGAGCTCCCATATATAAAAAGACTTTTGTGGGAGGCAGAGAGAAAGAGTGGATTATTTCTTAAGGAGTACTGAATTTCAGTTTATGGTGATGGGAAAATCGTATAAAGGGTAGGACTGCACAGCCAATTCACATAATTGCTGTCAATAGCTGTTGTTAAGTGCTGTCAAGTCAATTCTGACTCATGGTGACTCTGTATAGGGTTTCTGAGGAGCAGCTGGTGAGCTTGAACCACCAACCTTGAGATTCAAACTGACCTTGTATTCCAGCGCATTAACCCACAGCACACCAGGACACCATCATTTCGATTCTCACAGCGACACTATACACAAGAGAACAAAACACTGCCCAGTCCTGTGCCATTCTCACAATTGTTACATTTGAGCCCATTGTTTTTGCCACCGTGTCAATCCATCTTGTTGGGGGTCTTCCATGGGGGTCTTCCTCCATTTTGCTAAGCATGATATCTTTCTTCAGGGACTGGTCCCTCCTGATAATATGTCCAAAGTATTAGAGACAAAGTCTCACCATCCTGATTTCTAAGGAGCATTCTGACTGCACTTCTTCCAACAGAGATGTGTTTGTTCCTCTGGCAGTCCATGATACTTTTAATATTCTTCTCCAGCACCATAACTCAAATGCATCAGTTCTGCTACAGTCTTCCTTATTCATTGTCCAACTTTGTATATTCATATGATTTGATTTAAATATACCTTACCTTAGTCCTCATACTGATATCCTTGCTCCTGAACACTTTAAAGAGATCTAATGCAGCACATTTGCCTAATGCAATCAATCCTTTGATTTCTTAACTGCTGTTTCCATGAGTGTTGATTGTGGATCCAAGCAAAATGAAGTCTTTGACAACTTTGATCTTTCTCCATTAATCATGATGTTACTTATTGGTCCTGTTGTGAGGATTTTTGTTTTCTTTACATTGAGGTGCAATCCATACTGAAAGCTGTGCTCTTTAATCTTCATCAGTAATTACTTTAAATCCCCTTTGCTTCCAGCAAGCAAAGTTCTACTATCTACATATAACAGATTGCTAATGAGTCTTTCTCCATTCTTGGTGCCAGTCTTCATATAATCCAGCTTCTTGGATAATTTGCTCAGCATACAGATTGAATAGGTATGGTGAAAGATTACAACTCTGGCACACACTTATCCTGATCTTAACTGTTCAGTAGCCCCTTGTTCTGTTTGAATGACTTCCTCTTGAACGTTATACAGGTTCCTCATGAGCACAATTAAGTATTCTAGAATACCCATTCTTCACAATACTATCCATAGTTTGCCTTGATCCACACAGTCAAAAGCTTTTGCATAGTCAATAAAGCACAGGTAAACATCTTTCTGATATTCTCTGCTTTCAGCCAAAATCCACCTGATATCAGCAATGATATTCCTTGCTCCACATTATCTGAATTCATCTTGAGTCGCTAGAAGTTCCTTGTGAATGTACTGTTGCAACCATTGTTTAATTATCTTCAGCAAAATTTGACTTGCATGTGATATTAATGATATTGTCTGATGGTTTCCACATTCTGCTGGGTAGAAAATGTAGAGCTCTCTTTACTTTTATCACATAGTCCCTACCTTGATCTTTTTCTTCTCCACCAAAAAGCCTCTCCACACTCTTGCCATTTTATATTGTTGTTGTTAAGTGCCGTGGAGGCAGTTCCAACTCATAATGGCCTTGTATGAGGGTTTCAGCCACCTCATACAAGGTCATTTAAACCACCAACCTTGCGGTTCAAACCAACTTTTCAGTCCAGTGCTTATCCTGTAACATCATATCTGGACTCCTATTTTGTATTTTTTGTTGTTGTTGTTGTTCAGTGTTGTCGAGTCGGTTCCAACTCATAGCATCCCTGTATGGTGTTTCCAAAGAGCTTCTTGTGGGTTTGAACTGCTGACCTTGTACTGTTGTTAAATTCCATCAAGATAACAACCCTGTGTAGGGTTTCCAAGGAACAGCTGGTGGGTTTGAACTGCCGACCTTGTGGTTCACACTCAATGTTAATACAAACACCACACCAGGAGACCTTGTATTAGCAGTTCTTAAATAAAGGCAAGTTAAATATATCTTCCTTGAAGCTGAGAAATGACTCCTCAACCTATAGTTAATTTTATATAAATTTGAGGTTTCTTGTTACATATGATATGAGGGTGCAGTGTTTAAATTACAATAACTAAATAGAGCAAAAGGAAGCTATAGCTTTCCAAACAATTGGGAATTTGTGGTTCCACTGCCATATCCTTCCTTTATAATAGTCAGGAAGAAAGAAGATGCATGTTCCATATTATTTCTTCAAAAGGGCCTGATGAAAAACAGAAAGCTATTAACTGACTTCATTTAACACTGGGAGCTATAAATCATGTGTTGTAATGTCATGATAGGATGTTGCATCAGAACGTGGCAGTTGTAGTGACACAGTGGGTATCACAACCCTGGGGAGGTCTTTCTGGTGCTCATTGCTCTTTTCATAAAAATTCATCTCCAAGTTTAAATCCCTTTGACTCTTCCAAGGAGGATGGTGTCAACTTAATTCACAATTGACCTCACTCTAATTTGATTCTCCTGGTTTAGGGCATGGGGATCTCTTTTTAGTCGAAGGTTTGCGTGAGCATACATCATACAGAGATTCCCGCATCCCTTTTCATTTCTCTTACCACACTCAAGCAGGGAAGTGCTAAAGTTTCTTTACTTCTTCCTGAAAGTCTTTTGGGAAAGCTGGGAGGCATTATAGCAAAACTGTAATGTCTTTATTCTCAGAACCGTTAGTTTTGAAAGTGTATGTAATATTTCCTGAATATTTCACTTTTCCTTTAGTTCAAGAGTTGAAAGGTAATAAATGACTAGGAATCTGTCCCTGAAAAATAAGGTTGAAGGTTGATAGTTATGCTGAGTGTTATGTGGAATATACATCAGCAAGATTCTTAAAAGTTCAAATAGAATGTTTAGTACCTAACTTTTTTAATAAATTGTGTTTCTTTTCTTTTTTACTGTTTTGCTTTATTGTATGAGAAGTTTATTCATGGTGTACAGGAGAAAGTAATATAGTTACAGAATATCAGAATAAAACTTTATATTTAAAATATAACCTCTTGAAGACAAGGCTGATGTCTTGATTATGTTAGTGGAAGTGATAGCACATATACAGATGATAGAGCTCTTGGGGTTATAAGGGAACTTAGTCAAAGAAATCTCAGATGATATAAAGAAATCACCTTTACTACTGATAAAACTGGCTTGGGAGAATGTGATTTAGATGTGTGGCAGTGAGTTTTCCAGTATTGAATTCTAGAATGAGTCAGATTTGCCTACCTAGTAACAGGTAGCATTTTACCTCCACTGAGCTTCCCACATGAGGGTTTCCCCCTGTAAAACTCCAGGGATGAAAGGGCAGAGGCTGGGTCCCAAAGAGAGGAAAGGGGCTGAGCAATACATGGCATTTCTTTCTCCTGTTCCCTGGTGGAAGAAGTCACCCTCTCTGCTGGGGAGGAGTGAGGAGGGAAGGCAGATATGTAATACATGACTGACATGCCTGCCACACAGGAGAAAACATGAGTGGGAAGACACATTCTTGCGCAATCAGTGGGTGGTAGGTGTTTGGTGGTCTTTGCAGTATTATTAAAGGATGGAGACTTTTAAGAAATTTTAATGATTTGTAAAACATTTTTATCATTTACAGAATTTGGGAAACAGCTATCAAGATAGGGGGATAGTATGTGTGATAGAATATGGTCTTCAAGTCCATATCTTCTAAAGTTACACACTGAAATACTTTCAGGGGAACTGATAAAATGTTTGGACTGACTTCAGAATAATCTGTGGATGAGAGTGGTATAATATAACAAGGTTGTTTGTGATGTGTTCAGTTGCTGAAGTTAGCTAATGGGTCCATGGGGTTCATTATATAATATATAAAAGACTCCATTTGAATCTAAACTTCAGGGAAGCACTGGAAAAAATGGCAGTTATTGTATCTATAAATGCAAGTGGATCAAGGTATCTTCTTTAAACATGAAACATTTGCTTGCTTGGTGTGTAGGTGGTCATCCCCCTAGTTAAGTATATTAACTTGGATTTTGTTTTTAACAGCTTAGGTGTCTAAAAGGCCAGAGAGGCTTCTCGGGCCAAGCCTCTTTTGATGGAATCCACATTGTCAACCATTTCATGGGAGATGATGAATCATTCCATTCCTCTGATGAAGACTTCATAGATAATTCCTTACAAGAAGGTGGCATTGATTTTCCTTCGCACAGAAAATCTGACCCAATGTCTTTGGATCCCACTGTGGGAGATGATAGTGAGAATGAAACAGAAGACAGTGTGTTGGAGACAAGAGAGAGCGATCTAGTGGTTCAGAAGCAGCATCCTCCAAGAAGAGAATCATACTCAACCACTGTCTGACTATCACTGTGATCTAGATTGTAGATTTCTTTAAGGGATCAGTTATCATACAATTAGGGGCTTGGGGAACATACCTGTTTCATATGTACATATATATATATATTATATATTATATATTTTACAATCTTATTTGCCTTTTTATCTTTGCCAAATGTTTACCTTTGACTTAACCATTGCCATAAAGTAGACTGAGATGTGGTTAATGGGTAAAATAAGGTTCTAACAGTATTACTGAGTATTAATGCTCTTTGTTTAGAAAATGCAACAATATCAATATGAACCATTCTGAAGTTCAGAAGTATAGAATATTGAATTATCCTCAGACAACTGTTCTTGTGCAATATTTTATGCTCAGTGAACAAATTGTATATTTGTGATTATCAATTTATTTTCAGGATGGCTGTCCTCAAACATTTGACCAAGATATACTTCTGATTTACCTTGTTTTACGTTTGGGGAATTTTCCTTTTTCTATTTAAATGATAGTTGTTTCAATAGGTCACTAAAAACTCCCAAATATACAGCCTTTTTCTGTATAATTTTACAAACACTAATGGTTCTCTGTCTTGACAGTTTAAAATTTTGTTTTAATTTCTCATTTTTCTGTGCATATGTTGCTTACTTCTAAGAGTAGTAGGTAAGATAACTACAGCTGTATCGTTTATTTGTATATATTTATAAATCTGCACCATCCATCATTGACCATCATTTACTATGTTGTAAATGACTGCTTCCAGCATTCTAACAGGACTTCTGTAAATAATAGATTAAAACAAAACCAAATACTAATATTTTAATAGCTTTAGTATTTTGCGTAGCATTCAACCCTAACTTAACTGATGCTTACTCAGAAACACTGATGAAATCTCTTACATCATGTATATGTAACTGATATATTTTTCATGATTAAAAAAGTTATAGTCATATTAGTGCTAATATTCTACTTAATTTAAGCAGTGGTCCAACAATTATATTTGCAAATAATCTATAAGCATTATCTTCAGATCCTCTAGTTTCTAGTCTATATAGAGAAAGCCATAAAAATCCTTTCCTACTAATTCTTCCTTTTTTATTATTTAGGGTTTTTATTCCTAGAAAGGTGAATGACTATTATGGATCAATTGGAGGAATTGATTTATACAAATTAAATTATAGAAATTACACTTACACTCTGGAAAGACAATGGGAATGTGTTGGCTGGATGCTTTCTTCTGCTATTTTTGTCAGAGGCCTATGGGGGAAAATAGATATGAAGGATAAGAGGAAAGTAGAATTTCATATGTACGGAGCTAGACTTTTGCACAATATGTTGCATGCGGAAAGAAAAAAAATTATATGATGAAATGGAGAAGAGGCAAAAAAGTAGTTTTTATATCTAAAGCCAGGAGTAAAACTTACGGCACATTATGGACTAATCTTTTAACCCTTTGTAGTTATTTGTTTGCCTGAGAAATGAGATTGAAAACATGCCTGCTATGGCCATAGCACTAAATTCTAGTGGTTAAGTAAATTTCCCCAGGTCACAAGTTAGTAAGCCAAGATTTTAATCCAGATCTCTGAGATACCAAAGCCTTTGAGAAGATTCAGCTAATGAATTTCTCAATGCCCATCTCTTCTGACTATGATTTAAATAAATTTGATTTAACTGTTTCCTGTATGTGTGTATGTTATTGTCCTGGTGTGGCACTGTAGGATAAGATAAGCACTGTACTGCTAGCTGCAAGATTGGTGGTTCAAACCCACCAACTACTCCTCGGAAACCCTATACAGGGTTGATGTAAGTCAGAATCAACTCTACAGCACACAGCAATAATATATACACACACATACATACGTAGATACGTAGAGCTTGAATGTAGACACTACTCTTAGAATAGTCTGACTGCTGCCTGTGGGCTTCTCTTCTGGATTCTGTACAGTCAGCCTAGAAAGCCATTCGTGCCCAGGTAAAGTGAAATGATCCACAGCCACTTTATTACTATGATACCACCGCTCCCATCTGGCCCAAATCCAGCCTGCTGCCCGTTTTTACATGCCTAGCAAACTAAGACTAGTTTTACATTTTTAAATAATTGAGAAGAAAATCAGAATATTATTTTGTAACACATGAAAATTATGAAGTTCAAATGTCCATGTTCATAAAATGTTATTGCAACACAGTCATGCATATTGGGGCTGCTCTTGCCCTACAGCTGCAAAATTGAGTAGTTACAACAAAGACGATGGCCCCAAAGCCAAAAATATTTTCTACCTGGCCTTTTATAAAAAAAAATTTTTTTTAAAAGTTTGCTGACCCTTGATCTAGATACTCTAAATATAGGTTTACTTCTTTAGCTTGACACAACTGAAGAACAAACCACTTTTTTTTTTTAATATTGATCTAAAGAATTGGAATTGGAAACCTAAAATTTTCTAGATACACAGAATGGAAAAGACACCAGCCGCTTTACATGATGAAATCTTTGATTTTATAGAAAAATTTGGGAGGACATCTGAAGGAAAAGAAAAATAGGAAAGAATTCCAGAATCTTAGCAGAAGTCCTGTTGTGGTGCTGTGGGTTAATGCGCTGGGATGGACTGCAAAGTTGGTTTGAACCTCAAGGTCGATGGTTCAATCTCACCAGCCACTCCTCGAAAACCCTATTCAGGGTCACTATGGTTGGAACCAACTCAACAGCACTTCACAAAAACAGCACAGTCCAGGAGTCCTGGTGTAGCACTGTAGGATAAGCACAGGACTGTTAACTGCTAGGTCAGTGTTTCAAACCCACTCCTCAGAAACCCCCTACAGGGTTGCTGTGAGTCAGAACTGACTCAGTGGCACATAACACCACCACCAAGCACCATCCTTTAAAGCATGCAGCATTGACCTTCAAGGTATGCTTCAGTGAGTAAATTACTTTAAAATTACATCCTTTCTAGACTCATATTTGAATCCTAAACATTGAAAGGTAGTCTTAGGTAATTTTCTATGCATGATTTCTGGTTAGGAATTAGGTATCAAAAGAGCCATGTTAAGTAAATCTTAATCCATTGATACCCTCACAATTTAGACAGTGAAAAACTAGAGACAACAGTCTTCTCATTCAAGATCTTTTCCAATATTCCTTCAAAGGGTTTAAATCTTTGTGGCCTTTAGGATACAATAGAAAATTATGCCCTGATTTTACATCATTTCATTCAAATTAATGTTAGAATGTTGTTCAAAACTTTGAGGTATGGACTTGGTTTTATTTAATGTCTGGCATTTTTTTGTGTCAGTTAAATGTTTTTCAGTTAAACATTCCAAATTAAGTAATATTCAAGGGGGTGGGGCAGAAGTGAATTAAATGACTCACAATTAAAAATTTGCTCCCTTGGGATGATTATCTTCCTGGTGTTATTATTATCCTGGGTTGAAATGCTGAAAGAAGAGGCTACAAGTGATCTGAATAAAGTGGAAATTGCATTGAGGTAATAAAACAGAGACCTTTCAGATCAAGAAAACACTGTGAGACAACCTTTTAAAAAATTTAAAAAACAACAACTAATGGTCAGTTTTTTCCTGTTTGGAAAAAGAAGTAAAAAATGTAAATGTTGCTGACTAGTTAAGACATCAAATGCAAACGAACTGGCCAGTGGGTTAAAACATGGGACCGACCACACCATCTTTAGGAGCAGGGCTGGGAGGAAGGACATACCACTTTTATTAGCTCTGATTAGCTCTGAACATGGTATGCCATTTGTTACTCTCCAGGTAGTGCCTTTGATTGAAAAAAATCCCATTTTCAATTATTTTATGTTTGACATTTTAAAAAAATGATTTCACAACTGCTGTTCCTTTATCTTTTACATAATCCACTATAATTTTCAGATTTAAAGAAAAATAAGTATTTGAATTGTGGTTTTGCTAAAGCCTTTTCATGGCCACCTGGATTTTTGTAGAATACCAGATGTTGACAAGTTATCATTTCATGAAATCAATTAGTTTTTTACTTTAGTAAAGCAATGAGTTTTAGCTTGAAAGTTATTGTTGCTTTATTATTAACAAAACAGTAAGTCTTTTTGATTAAGGTGAACTTTCAGCTCATGTAATTCTGTGGAAATTTGTGGTTGAAATGGAGATGTTATATACAGTCCAAGTTTTCATATCACTTCTCTTGCTGTATCCCTTCTTTTCACTCCAAAGAAAAGATGATGAAATAATAATACATTAGGTTTACTATAGAACTGCAAAGTTATAATGTAAAAAATTGAAATTTTTACTGTAAGTAACATTGTATGATAACTTGAAATGTTTACTTGTGCCTTTGCTTTACACAATTAAAGTTTTCCATTTTATATATAAAAAAAAGTTTCCTTAAATTATTCAACTTTACATTTTATAGCAAGGAGGGGAGTGATTAACTTTTCAGTCTAGGAGCGGAGGTCCCTAGGACCATCAAGGGAGAAGAGCAGAGAGCGGGACCCTACCCAGAGAAGCAATGATGCTTGAAATGGAGCCAGAGATAATGATGTGGAGCGATGGAGCAGCTGGATACTTTAGATCCAGAGAGGGAGAGCGACTGTGTGCTGAAGACCTGGGGTGCACAGGGGAAGGACTGCATGGAGGGGATTGTAACCATGGCAATGATATGATATACGATAGAATGAATGTAAAACCAATGTTCTCCCATGTAAACTATCACATAATTCATAATAAAACATCAAAAAAAAGAGTAATGAAAGTAAATAAAATGCTTCTTTCAAATTAAAAAAAATTATTCAACTTTAAAAGCAGGGGGATTATCAAATCATGGCTAAAGAGTTGTTGATCTAACATCAGAATTTTATTAATGATGTTCCACGCTCTGTTGGTGCAGGGATCATGTCTTCCTGGTACACCTTTGTGTACTTAGTGCCAAACAGAGAGTCTGGTACATGATGGGCTTTCCATACATTTTATTTTTTTTAATTTAATGATAAGGAGATGCCTATGGAGCTTTGGTGGCACAGCTATTAACTATCAGCTGGTGGCTAAAACCAATCTGAAGCTTCATCTGGAGAAAGAGCTGATGACCTGCTCCCATAAAGATTACTGTGTTAGGTACCGATGTGTTAGGTACCGATGTGTTAGGTACCGATGCGCAGCAGACCAAACCACTGCCCAGTCCTATTCCATCCTCACAATCATTGCTTTGTTTGAGCTGTTGTTGCAGCAGCCACTGTGTCACTATGTAAAAAATGACATGAAGGTCGTGTCTGACCTCCTCTAACCCAACAAGAGGGCAAGAGAAACTCCTCAGTCCAAGGCTGATTTCTGTGAGGCAGAAGTCAGCCATGCCTCCACCCTCACTAATCGTTACAGATTCTGGAGCTAACCCTCCCTCTCTCCAACAGCACTCCCTACTTCTCAACATCTCTGTTGTTAAGTAATTCACTGCAATGGGCACATCTTGTTGTTTAAAAGCCGAGTCAGTTCCGAC